ACAATGTGAGTGTCCTCCATGCCCCTGAGCCAAAGCTGGAGACGGCTGAGGCAGATGTCCTGTTTTCATGGTGCATTTTCTCAGATGGACAGAACATAAAATCTGCCACAGTTTAAGAGAAAAAAAATGTTAACATATTAACACCAGAAGCAAATTTTTATTTTGAGGAAGTCTAAAGGCTTGAGATCGAATTTTGAAAGGCTGGGGTGTAGCTCAGTGGCAGAGAGCTTGAGTAGCATGTGTAAGGCCCTGGCCTGGGTCCCCAGAAACCCCCGCCCCCCCAAAATGAAGGGAGAGTGAATTTTGAAAGAGTGGCTGTGAGCATCATCACCACACTTGGTGCTCGGCCAGGCACTGCCCCCATTGGAGCTGTTCCCACCCCTCACAACCAGGGATAGGGGCTGGGCGGAGGCCAGGAGCCCTGGGGCATGGGAGGGTCAGCCCAGAAAGCAACAGTGAAGTAAGAAAAAGGAGAAGTGAGAGTGTGCAGAGAACAGAGCCCCAGGGCCGGTGGAGGACTTGGCCAGCCCTCCACGCACCTGCGGGGCCGTTGGGGGCACCGAGGCAGGGGCTGCAGAGCAGAAGCCACTTCAGGGGCCGCCAGAGCCCAGGCAGAACCACAAACCACAGAGGAAGCAGGAAGAAAACAACCTGGGCTCCAGGTCAACTTGAGTCAACAGATACTTCCCGGCCCCTCCCTCCTGCGGGCCTGGGGCGGGTGAGAGGGAACAGAAGCAAGGTCCCCATCCCGGCAGCCTTACCTCTTGACACCCTAACTTCACCAAAGACCCCTCCTTTGTGCTCTTCCAACACGTTCAGTCCCCCCACCCCAAGTCTCTGCACTTACTGTTCCCTCTAGCTAGACCCCACTCCAAAGAGGCAGGTCCCTGTCCGAAAACATACGGCACAGGGGGTGGCAGCTCACGCTCGTAATCCCTAAGCCGAGCCACTCAGAAGGCTGAGGCAGGAAGACTGCAAGTTCCAGGCTATCCTGGGCAACTTGAGGAGAACCTGTCTCAAAACGGAGGGCTGGGCATGTAGGTCAGTAGCAGAGCACCTCTGGATTCGTCAGTCTCCAATACCACGAAAGAAGAAAAGAAAGACAAGCACACCACCTCCTGCAGCTGCTATCTCAGCATGCTGCTCAATCTCCATGACTCACACTCCACCATGACACAGACATTTCTTTCCTCTTAGTCAGCTGACTTCCATCAACTGTACACTCCACAAATGCAGGGCACCACCCGCTCCTCAGTGTCCCATGCCCAGGACCTTGAATCGTGCCCAGCTCAGACTACGTGTCAGAGCCGTCTGTCTCCTCTCTGTCAAGTGACTCTCCAGCCCTCTTCTGTGGAATCCATGTTGGCCTGCAGTGTTTGTCCCTGAGCCCTCAGGCAGCACCGGTGCCCGCCATGTGCACTGTCCCACGTCACTTCCTCTACCTGCCGGGAGCGACACCAAACAGGACCCCAGGTGAGAACATCACAGACCACAGTGAAGGACTCTGAGATGCGGGCAGAAGGAAGGAGAGGTATGATCTCGGGGTGTTGGGCAGAAGAGTGCACCTGAGTGGGGCGGGGGCAATCTAGGCAAAAGGACCGTGAGGACAGGTACGTGGCCAGAGCAGGCCCCAGGAATGGAAAGCAGCTGGGGCAACAGCTGGATTAAACTCACATCTGTGGTGTGAGCGTCCGCTTTGAAAACCTATTATTTTAGTTTTGCAGCCAGTGTCCCCGGGCCACCATCTCACCTGTCCAGCACATGAACCTCCTGTGTCCCCTGAGCCCAGGAGCCGGGCCCATCACGCTCTGCCTGTGCCGGTGACCAGCGAAACCCTTCCCACTTCTCTCCCCTCCAGCTGCACTAGACCAGGGCTGCAGGGTGACTCCCTGCAGCCTCCCACTGGGGCAGGCAGGGAGCTAGCGATGCCCACATCCAAGGGTGGTGCCAGGCCCTGACCTCTCACAGTCAGCAGGAAGGACAGACGGAGGGACAGTGGGTCTTTCAAAGACAGAGTCCCCAAGGGTCACCTGACCTGTGTGGGATACAGCACGCTCCAGGGACAAGTACCAAATGCCTGGCTTATGGTCCTCCCTGCCCAGAAAGGGCTCCCCCTTGCCCGCCTAGGAATTCTGACAGCACACGCTGAGCAGAGCCCTGGGCATCCGAGACAAGGTGTGCCCAGGTTCAGGGCTAAGGCCACTGGCAAACACATCAGGCAGCGCCAAGGCCCCTTGGGGAGACTTCAGGGCAGGCGTGGGCACAGCTCAGGATGGTAGGCACTGCGGATGCCACATCCCGATGCTTGTTTCCAGGCAGGCCCAGCCCCTGGGGGGTGCATGGGATCATAGGTGACAGTGGCTGTGGCGGTGCTCCGCCCCCAGGCCTTGCCCAGGCAGCCAAGGGCTGGATGACAGTGGGAGAGCTCCAACTGGGAGAGGGGAGGGAGCCCCAGGGCAGACTTTACCTGAGGCCCCATCCTGCCCCCAGCTGGGCAGCTTTCTCCAGGCAACAGGACCTTGTTGCAGAAGCAACTTAAGGAAGCCAAAATGGCAACTTACATAGGCGTCCAAGGACCGTGCTAAGATTTCTTCTCTCTCTTCTCCCAGGTTCCCACACTGTCATTCTGTACATAAAAGGACACTCTGAAAAGGAGCTATGATATATACTTATAAACAGCTCTCCAATGAGGCATATCTAAGATCCAGGAACTGGCTGCTCAAGCAGGAATGAGCCTGGAGGGGTCAGTCAGTCTGCAGAACTCGCCCGGAGCTGCTGTCCCCTGTCTAAGGGGATGCCAGCCTCCTGGTGGCTCCAATTCACTTTCACTCACTGACACTCAGCCTTTCCCCTGTAAAACACAGGCAGTGTAGACTAGGAGACCTTCATAGTTCCCCAGGCCTGAAACAGTTCGGTTATTTGATGTTATAAATCAAGAAGTGGGAAAGGTAACCTTGAAGCCCTGGCTCAGGCAGGCACTGATTTTGAGCACTCAGAGCTTCCTGCAGATTCAAAGGATGAGTAAAATCCCCGCCCTCTCCACCCCCGGGAGTCTGGCAAGGTTTTAATTGTCTTTGTTTTTCATCTCAGAGACTTCACAGTGAACTCGCTGGATAAATGGGACATCACCTCCCAGGTTTAGGTAACTGCGGATAAATAGCTCATCCACATGCCAACCCTTAAAATGTCCACAGCACCGATTTCAGAACTAAAGCAGCTGACACTGCACTCAGAAGAGAACTACTACAAATAAAGAAAATATCTTCAATGCTTGTCTGACACGAAGTTCTCCTGGAAAGTGAAGGGGAAACTGCAATCAACAAATACCTCTAACAGGACACTTAAGACAAGCAGTCACACTCAGGCAAAAAGCACTAAGGGTCAGCCACTAGACTTCTAAGGGGCTTGGGCTTAGCACTTCTCTGACGCATCTGAGACTGGAATTGTTTTCCCCCTTCAGCCTACCAAATATATTAAAAATAAAGAACGGGGTGTTATTTTAGAGACAAGAACACAGCTACAGAACCTCGAAGGAAGTCGCACACAAACACATCGAAAGGGATTCACTTGAAGCCAGCTGTTTTCAATAACCAGCTTCCTCCTCCTCACCCATGTATGAAGAGAACAGACAACTTCAAGGACAGAACAAACACGTGTTCCTCTCCTAAGTATTAACAGCTGATCTTCCCACAGGAGACAAGGCCCAGGCAAGGATACAGAAAGCTGAAAGGCCCAATTCAGCCTGACACCAATCAGGAACAAGACCCTCCAAGTTTGTAAAGCACTAACCTGACCCAAAATGCAACTGGCTGACACGTTGCGTCCTAATCTCAGGAGGCTGCCTCGCAAGACACAACAGGTGCAGGTGCAAGTAACAGAGAAGGCCGGCCTGAACTCGGGCTCCACGCTTAAACACACGAATGGCTGATGTTCACACAGCACACACATGTGCGGCTCTGCGATGTGGTCAGACCTTGTTAAGCCTCAGCCTTGGAAGGTAGAAACAAAAGGGAGCTGCAAAAACGTGCCCTGGAGAGGGAGGGGGTGGCGGGGAGCTACGGCCTTTCATCTCTGGCTAGGCTGGCCCCACACCACCTGGGCGCGGGCTGGGCGCGGGCTGGGTGCGGCCTGGGTTGCTCACCCGCACGCTAGCATCAGCTCCCTTCCGGCCTGTGCACTCGAGCGCTGGACCACATCACCTGTGGGTCAGGGCCCAGCCGGATCATCCAGGCAGACCCCAATCTGCCGGTAACCAAGGTGAACACCACTCACTCCCTCTGCTCTCATTTCTCAGCTGTGAAAGGGACCCCGGGGCTCCTCTGGCAAAACCTCTCATCAAAGGTTTCTGTCCCTCCCAAAGTGGCGGAACAGGTATGATGTATCTACCCCGGACGCCTTCCACACTTCCCAAAGCCAGTTCCCACACCAGTCGGCGCCAAAGAGGAGGCCCCTGTCGCTGCACTTTCAGGCCAAAAAGCCCTGGCCTTTCAGACCAGAGCTGTGCAGGGCCCTGACCACCTGCTCCCTGGAGTCCCAGACTGAAGAGGGAGCAAGACCAGGAGGTCCTGGGCCCAGGCGTGGCGGCCCGGAGGCCCTGTCTCCTGTACAAGTCCAGGACGCCCCTTCCCAGAGCAGGCCTGGTTAGGGCCCCGCAGCTCCACAACCTCCTTCTCCGGCAAGCCAGACACACACAAGCACTCGTACACTCACACACAGACACACAGGCACACAGGCGCGCACGTGCACACACACGCAGGTCACGGCCCGCGAACAGCTCCCTGGCCCGGCGGCGCCACGTACCCTGGTGGCGACCCGCGCGCGCCACCGGGTCACGCAGCGCGCAACTGCCGCGGGGGCGCCCGGCCGAGCCCGTCCCTGGCCTGGAGTCCCCGCCCCGCCGAGGTACGGGCCTCCCGCCAGCGCCGGCGCACCTGCCGCGCGCGTCCCTGTCCCCGTGCCCCGGCGTGCGGACTCCCGGCCCCCTCGCGGCCGCGCCTCACCAGCGGTAGCAGCCCTCCGAGGCCTCCAGGGTGAAGTTGACGCGCGTGGCCCGCGTGAAGGGCAACAGCACTTTGGGGATGTTGAGCTTGGCGGCCGCGGCTGGGCCCAGCGCCGGCAGCGCCAGCAGCGCGGAGAGCGCGAGTAACAGTGGCGGCGGTGCCTGGCCTCGCGCCATCCTCGCGGCGTCACCCGGCGACACGGCCCGCGCTCTGCCCTCCCGCCCGCGCCTCAGTCCCGCCCCCGCCGGGCAGCAGGTGATAGCGGGGAGGGCGGGGCGAGGCCGCCGCCTCCGGCCACTTCCTAGGCTGCCGTGCAGAACGCAGGGGCGGCTCGTGGCGCCCCCACCCTGGCTGGTGCGCCCGGGCCACAGTGCGAGGGCGGGAGGCGGGAGGCGGGGGCGCGCCCGGGGGGGAGGAGAGGGGGGCCGCGCGCGCCCGCGCCTGCGGGCCGTCCTAGACCACGAGGAGGAGGCCATGCCGGGTTGTTGGGACTCCGGGTTTGTCCCACGAGGCTTTAGATCGTCGGCTGGTGCTGCAGGTCCCTGGGGAGACTTCCGATCATCCCGCAGTCATTCATTCAGCCGTTTCCAGCGCCCCCCATAGAGGCAGAGCCAGGCCTGGGCCAGCGTGAGAGAGGCCGCCGCAGAAGGACACACACCTCTGGACATCTGGCATTCAGAGTGCCCAGTGCGTAAAAGTGATTAAATGGCCCCAAGATCACTGCTGACAGGGCAGTGCTGGGGGCTCTCTAATCCCCAGAGCCGATTTTTCTGCCTTGCTCCCTCTGTCCTCTGTCCTCCGGAAGCCTAAGAGAGTCACCGCAAAGGTCAGATTTAGGGTGACAGTGCCTCCAGAGCACACCCAGCTCCTTACACTCACCCAAAGAAAGGTGCAGGCTGGCTGAATTCAGCTGCACGTGGACAAACTGAAAATTTTAGGAGCCTGCATTTGGTGCTCTGTGGTTTCCAGCTGCCTTTGTCATGAATTGCAGGTACTGTGTGCTTTTCAGGCCCTCTGAAATGTGCATCTGGTCTTTCAGGGAAGCCCTTCAGCCTAGTGAGAAGAGGTCGGGGAAGGTGCAGGCAAGGGCACACAGGCCGAGTTTGTGATTTGTGTACGGAGTGCAGGAAGTGTGTGGGGACTTGGAGCCAGTAAGGCACACATAGGTGCTACAGAGTGACAGGAAGAGGAAGCTGAATTTTGCTCAAGCTCAGAAAGGCGGCTTGGTTGAGGTGGTCCTGGGACTGGGCACCGAGAAACATTGGGCTTCAGAACGCCCAGGTGGTGTAAGCCCATCTCTCTGGGCCCATGCGACTTTGGGATGGAATGAGGGATGTTTGAGGGGTCCTCCTCAAAAGCTGGGGGCCGTAAACCAGGGATGTGGGTGGCTCTAGAGACCCCAGAGGTGGGGGTCTGTGTAGCCAGGTGGTCTGTGAGCGTGTGCTTTCTGCAGAGTGTACCCTTGAGTAGATCTGAAAGCATGCTATGCCTCCACAAGCAAAGAGAAACACGTGGATCCCTTGCCAGACAGCTAAGTCAATAAGTAGAAGAGACCTGGTGGGGATGAGAGGCCTGGACCTCTGGTCCCCTAGGATCATAAGTCCCCGAGGCCCTATCTTTCCAAATCTGATTATCGAGGAGAAATCAGTACCCTCGAATTTTCAGTTGAAACATCTTGGCTGTAAATGTATTTACTAATGTATTTTAAAATGTACATCCTCTTGGACATTGGTCCCAGAGAAATGAAAACTAAATATTTATGTAAATCCCTGGACATGAGATTCATAGTAAACCGAGTCTGGAGTGATGGGGTGGATGAGGTGATCAGGGTGATGGAAATGCCCCAAATCTTGACTGCGTCAATGCCAACCCCCTGGGTTTGCAAAACTACTTTAGGAACAAAGGGTACATGGGAGCTCTCTGTATCATTTCTTACAACTGTACATGAGTCTACAGCCATCTCAAAAAAAAGTTTAATTACACAAATAAAAAGACAAACATACAAATGGGCCCTAACATAACACATCGGAATAGACACAGCTTGCTGGCTGCTTCAGTGGTTGTTTTAAGGTAATCAGGACATTTTTTTCCCAGCAGAAAGCAACCATATAATGAAAAACTGTTTTCCCATTTGAGATTTCGTGCTTTACATTGCCCTTAAAGTGTTTCTCGCCCTGGCTTCAGTCACCTACAGACCTGGTCAGGAACCATCCATGCCTGGGGGCCATGGGCAGGAGCTGCTCACCACTTCCGTGTGTGGTTTTCCGCTCCCTGCCATTGGGCCCCCTTCTCTGGGCAGCAGGGCTTCAGGTGACATGCAGGGAGACAGGAGGGGATGGAGTGACAGCCTGAGCAGACCGTTAGACCCTAGGCGCAGCGCCCCCCAGGGGCAGGAGAGGCAGATCTGTGTGAGACGCTTGTCTACCAGATCAATTAGAAAACATTTCCTGGAACATATTATCAGTGTCTCCCAAACTTCTGTCATTTCCTAGCACCCTAAAAAAATTTTCTTTTACAATATCTGAGTGCCACCTGTACTGTCATTTCCTACTTCTCTGTAAAGCAGAGTGTTTACATATATTTATATAAGAGGCAAACTTTGCTACTTCTGTAAATAGAAAATCAGTATCAGTTGCCAAAATAGAAGTAGGCATAAAATAAATACACAGAAATAAAGGGTTAACATCCAGTTACACTGACATGACTTTTCCTGCTAAAGCCGCTGAGTTCAAGGCCTGCTCTTGGTTGGAAGAGATCCCAGGGTATGCAGTGTCCAAGACACAGCCACACTAATGTGGAGCTTTCTTTTGCATATACATGGGCCGAGAGCATTTAAAGACAATTGACAGCCAGGCATAGTGGCACACATCTGCAATCCCAGCACTCCAGAGGCTGAGACAGGAGGATTGCCACAAGTTCAAGGCCAGCCTGGGGTACTGTATCTAGCACATCCCAGGCCAGCCTGCACTACATAGCAAGATCCTGTCTGTGTCATTTACTTTTCTCTCATTGTTGAGACAAAATACCTGACACCCAGAGTTAGAGGGGAAGGGGTTTACTTGGCTTGCATTTCATAGAGGTTTCAGTCCATCATCAGCTGGCTCCAAGGTAGGGATGACAAACAGGCATCGTAGAGGAGAAACAACATGGTGCTCACAAAGGTAGCAAAGGCAAGAAGAGACCTTAACGGTGCCTCTCTGCCCCTTTTATCCTATCCAGACTACCGGGATTAGGGTGGTATAAGACCACTCATGTGTAGTGGTTTAATAATCACACGCCCTTAATTCCAGCATCACACATTCCAGATTCAGCCACCTCTGAAAAAGAAAGTCCCACTTCATCTGCATCTGGCTTTGGGGGGACATCTGAACACAAACCATACCACTGTCTCCAAAGAAAAACAAAAACAGAAAGAGAAAACTGACTTTTTCTTGTGGGGAGTTGACATATTGGAGACTACGTACCATCTTTTTTGGTCACAATTTAGTAATTTTTAAAAACCCATTTTATAATGGAGAACCTCCATCACCAAAGCAGGGAAGTATACAAAAGCCTCATGACTGTCCAGACCTGTGGCCGCTATCCAAGCCAATTCTGTTCCTTCTACAGACGACTCCTACCTTGTCTCATCTTGAAAGAAGCTCAAGACATCCTATCATTTCATCTGTATTGATTTCACCTAAGAAATTAACAATAATTCCCTAGTTGTGAAATATCAAGGTTGAGTTCAAATTTCCACCGGTCTTAGGAATGCCCTAATTTATTTTATGGTTTGTGTGTTAAGAATCAGGATCGCCAGAGACATAGTACCGGCTGCTTGGAAGGCCAAGACCAAATGATCCCTTGAGCCCAGGAGTTTTTGGCCAATCTGGGCAACAAAGCAAGACCTGGCTCAAAAAAAAAAAAAAAAAAAAATCAGATCCAAGTAAGGTTCACACCTTGCATTTGATTGAAATGTCTCTTTCCCCTTGCAATTTTGTATTGTCCCCCTTTATCTGTGGAGCAGGCTTTTGTGGGTCAGAGAAGCCCCAAGCTCAGTCCTGCCTCCTCTGGACCCCACACAGTGGCCCTCATGAGTAGTGTCACAGCAGCAATGGTGACTTCCTCACTGCAAGAGTGTGTCCTGTGTGCCCTGTTGGTTTGCTTTTGTGTGCGTGTGTGTTTAATTCATTTTGATTCATTTTGTTTTCTGTACTGTGGAGTGAACCCGGGCCTCACTGTGCGCATGGCAGGCAAGTGCTCTACCACTGAGCTGCACCCCCAGTCCTGTCCTGAAGTTTTGGTCCTAGTCCTTGGAAACTTGGACATTCGGACCTCCTGAATCCTCTCTGAGCCAGAAACCTCAGCTTGGTGAAAAATACAAAGGAAGAAAAGACTGGTGGTGTTAGGATGGCTTCCGCCTTGGCCAGGTCCCTACAAGAACCTTATCGTGCTTGAGATAACGGCCCCATTTAATTACAGAAATTGCTGCTTCTTATCAGTGACCAGACGCACTGCCCACCATGGGATCCGTGTTTTGTGTTTGCACTTACTCTCACCAGGAACAGTTTTCTCACACTTACCACATCTGTATTCTGCCAGGACCAGTGAGTGTTTGCTCAGCTCATGGGCTTCCTCCCCTGCCCATGCCCTTCTTCCCTGTGGGTGGCAGTCCAGACGATGGCTGCAGAGTGGGAATGGCAGCCGGCTGGTGGCACCTTCAGCCTCCTTGCAGTCCAGGCACACGTGTGCTGGCCAGCTGCCCACTGCAGTCCTGGCTGGGCACCCTGGAGTCCTCGAACACTGCCCCGATCTAGAACTGCCCTGGCCTGCTCAGCAGCTCTCATGTTCCATGTTTTCAAGGGTTCATTTTCCTGTAAACTCGATGAGGTTGTGGGATGTGCAGACAGCCGGGAAATCATTACTGCTCGTGTCTGTGAGCATCTCGGTGGACGAGGTTTCGAATCCACACTGGGTAAGGGGGATCTGCCCTCACCAATATGGGTATGGCCATTGTCTAGTGCGAGAAAGCCCTGAATAGAACAAAGAGGTAGAAGAAGAGCAAATCTCCCTGATGGAGCTGGGCCATCTGTCTTCTGCCTTGGATACCGGAACTCCTGACTCCAGGCCTGCAGACCCCAAGACATATGTACCAGTCTCCCCATCCGACCCCAGGCATTCAGATTTGGCCACAAGTTAATGCTGTTGGCTCATCCTTGAACCGATGGATGCCACCAGCTTCCCTGCCTCTCCGCTTGCT